TTTCCCTACTAGGGAAACCCTTAGACTATTTCTCCAGTGAACCAGTGAAATTGACTCCCTCCTCTCACATTATATGAATGGAAAATGAGTTGAAATGGATTTTAAACCATTTCAGCTGCAATCTTCTGAGGCTTATAAAGATTATTTTTTAAAAACCTGTTTGAGCTAAGAACATCAATTTAAACCTACATATGATCTGTGAACTTTGTTTTTCACCTCTGGCTCTGCGTCACTTACTAGGATCTCTCTAACTGCTCTGGACGCCTCTCCCCTCTTCACCCACCCTGTGGACTGCCAACCAACATGTAGCACCCAGCAATGTTTTGTGTCCATTTATTTCTAGGTGGATATCTAAACCAGGGCCACTCTGGTAACCGCCTCTGAAACAAAACTTTATAAACAGTCTTTTTTAGGAAAGTGTACTTTGGCTTGATTTTTATTTCTCTGAAGTAGCCTATGGGCAAATCTTTATACTTTTTCATGGGATCTCAGAAGATATGTCTTTCTTCTCCAGGCACCAGCTGAATACACCAAATGTTAATGTTTGTCCACTTTTATTTCAGACTGACAATGAATAACAGCCCTTACCTTAATGCCCTATATAGTGAACAGGTTGATTCTCTACTCTAAGAAGTTTAGATGTTCTTTTTTCTAGAAGATGTCGATGGAAGAATAGATTCGGTGTAGACAGGACCATGAAGGAATCAGAGTCATGTTCAAGGCTAGGTAACAATGGGATGAAGGTGAAGCTTGGATCATATTGAGTGAATTCCACCCTGTGAACCATCGAGGGCTCCTTGAGTATCTACTTCTCCTTCTAAATCAACCAAAGTTACAAATTAATGACCCATGACTCAGATTCAGGCTTCAGAAATGTATTGTTTGGCCTGCACAATGTAGGCTCAAAGGTAGACTATCGTCTGTCTACCTTTCAATATTGAGAGATTGTATAGTAAATCTGGATTTCTGCCAATCATAAACGTGGAAAGATCTGGCAACCAAGAGTCCATATTCCTGCTAGAAATAATCATCTGAAGCTGAGTAGTGGTTGTGAGTAGCAGTCTGTGGGGGGACAGGATGTGTCCTCCCCTCTTTTCCTCCCTCTTTTCTGTCACACAGGCCAGCTTCACTCAGTAATCCTGCACACCTGGCCTCTGTGAGTCTTGACTCCTGTATCACATGCAGTTCCTGAGAGAGACAGTGGAGGGTACCAGCCAAATACAAACTCTTTTACCCTGAATAGGATTTCTGCCCACCTTCTAGTTTGTTCCCTCAACTGGTTTAGCAGATTGGGTGCCAGCTTTACTTCTCTCCCTGCCCTAGAGGACAGAGATTACTCTGAACACCTTGTTTCTGGTCGAGTCCTCTGCATTTTGGAATGAAAAGTGCTTTCTAAGGTGAAAGCATTGCCTCCCTACCCCATCCCAACCCCACCACCTCCAATCTGAAAGGCCTCTTCAAAAGTCACACTTCATGGGCCTCCCTGGTGGTGCAGTGGTTGGGAGTCCGCGGGTTCGTGCCGCGGAGCGGCTGGGCCCGTGGGCCGTGGCCGCTGAGCTTGCGCGTCCGGCAACGGGGGAGGCCACGACAGTGGGGGCCCGTGTATCGCAAAAAAAAAAAAAAAAAAAAAAGTCACACTTCATAAAGCATATCTTCCCCTCTCATTATCCCCAGGATTTTAGTCAGCTTTCAGGCCTTCTGAAGAGACCTTATTTTAAGTCTTGGGTAGTAAACATGAGGGGAGAGAACATCTACAATGCTACCTGCCCTGGCAATTCCACCTCCCTCCAAATCCTAGCACATTCTTCAGCATTTCTGTGTAAGAACACCATTCTGAGTCTTCAGTTTCGTTGCCTTGGGGCTGGGAAACCATTTCTCCAGGCTTCTTCTCCCCTCCCCTGCCCCCCTTAGGAACAGGATTGGCCTTAGCTTCTGGGCCTACCTGCTGCCTTCCTTCTACTTCCTATTAGCTCTTCTGCTTTCCTTTGAGCTCTGTTGGGCTTTAGGGAATCTTAGTTTTTATTTCCCAGCTCTTCATTTTTTTCTTATGATGTTTTTGCTTCTAAGAAAGCATTTGCCTTTTTTCCCCTTTCTTCCTCTCCCAACATAACAATTGTGGTAACAGAATGTGACTGCTGATTTACTGCTGCAGACTGCTGCAGTCTTCATTCTTTTAGCACTTAATTGTTAAGCTCTTACTATGTACCAGGCATCTAGTATATAACATTTTGTTTTTACCTTCAAATAGGTCATGGTGTATTGGGAGAAGCAGACTTATGAACAGTTACAAATATGCATAGATGTGTTGAGAGGGCTTAGGTTGTGAAGGGGAAAGCATTTGTGGGCAGTAGGCACAACAGACGGAGGGGCCAGCGAGGGCTTCCAAGGCAAGGTCACATCTGAGAACAGTCTTGAAGAAAAGTATAGCTTCTTTTTGAAGGGTGGGATGAGTGAAGATATTCTGACTGGAGGAGATAGAATATATAAGGCCCAGCTGTGTAAAATGGCAAGGATCGTGGGGGGTGGGGGGGTAATTTTCTGGTTCTGCTTTGGCCGTGAGGCGTATGAGCTGGTGACTGCGAGGCAGCATTCAGAGTAATGAGCGTTCCTTTCTGCTCTGACTCACACCACCCCTGGCTCCTCCTTCCCTCCCCTTTAGCTAGTTCTTTCCTCTCTGGAGAGTACAAACTTCTGCTTTCACCATCTCAGACTTGCCTGTCCCTTATGGTCCTGTCCATTTCCAAGCTAATTTATGCTCTTTGCAAAATTATATTTTCAAAGTAACTGTGATTTCATAAGGTAGGTTTTTTATTTGTAAATCTCAATCAGATAATATCTAATAAATGCTCCCTAAGTGTAAAGAACTGCACAGAAATGGACCTAGAGTCTGTCATACTGAGTGAAGTAAGTCAGAAAGAGAAAAACAAATACCGTATGCTAACACATATATATGGAATTTAAGAAAAAAAATGTCATGAAGAACCTAGGGGTAAGACAGGAATAAAGACAAAGACCTACTAGAGAATGGACTTGAGGATATGTGGAGGGGGAAGGGTAAGCAGTGACAAAGCGAGAGAGAGGAATGGACTTATATACACTACCAAGGTAGATAGCTAGTGGGAAGCAGCCACATAGCACAGGGAGATCAGCTTGGTGCTTTGTGACCACCTAGAGGGGTGGGATAGGGAGGGTGGGAGGGAGACGTAAGAGGGAGGGGAAATGGGGATATATGTATATGTGTAGCTGATTCACTTTGTTATAAAGCAGAAACTAACACACCATTGTAAAGCAATTATATCCCAATAAAGATGTTAAAAAAAAAAGAAATAGTGTACAACTAGATTACACTTTACATTTTGGGTTGAGATTTTTTTCTCACAATAATATCTTAAATTCTAACCAACTGTGACTTCTATATCTTTTGAGTAATTCTGACTAGAGAGAAATGCATCTTTTGAAAATAGTTCGGTGGCGTCTGTTTTGAAAAAAGGTTGCTAAGTCATGGTTACAGCATGTAGATGGTGCACGAACTTCTCACTGCCCACTTTCAGCTTTGCTCCGTTTCCTCTGCCCTTTGGCCAGGCCTTCTCAGTCGTGTGCCACTTGGCTAGCATCAATAAGAATGAGCATCACACTTACAGGCTCCTTTGTAAGAACACCCTTGGACTCCAAGCTGGGACTCTTTTTTTTTTTTTTTAGGCCTGGCCTCAGACTTGACCCTCAAGCTTGAGGAAAGATTTAGCACTTCTGCTTCCCACTCTTGGCATTCCCACCCAGAGAGCTTGCTCTTGGTATCTGGCTTTCCCTTTCTTAGTTACCCCAGGAAATCATCTGCTTGGCCAAGTCTCTAACCCTGAGACACAGTGGCCGACATGATTTTACACAAGAGGATTTCTACAAGAATTCTACATAAGAGGAATTCAGGAAAGCCCTACCCTGGTCTCTGAAGGTGATCTTAGCTGTCTAGGCAGTAGCTGGCTATCAGCTGGTTGTCATGAACCCTTTAGTAGAAAGATGATTATTTATGCTATCAGCATTTCTCAAACGTTAGCGTGCATCTGGATCTCCAGGAGAGCTTGTTAAAACCATCCCCAAATTGCTGTTTCAGTAGCCCTAGGGTGGGACCTGAGTATGTGCATTTCTCATAAACTCCAGGTGATGCTGACGCTGCTTGTCTGTGGACCACACTTCGAATAACCTTGTACTATATGTTCTAGCTCAGCGGTTCTGGTGTGGGAGGTGGGAGCAATGATGAATCAGAATCACCTAGAGAAAGTTTTAAAAATTTACATATCAGCTTAGCCCTCCTAAGTATTGTGGGTTTTGGTATATGTCCTCAGATTGGACTAGGGCCTGAGAAAGAGAGTGGGGCTCTGGACAAAAGCAATTGACTTGTTCTCCTTGGTATCTATCACTCTTTTCCACCTCTACTATCATACCTGGAGCTTGGCTTGGCAGGTGGGGGATTGCTGCGAAAGAGAATATCTATGGTCACTGTGGTCAAGTGGCACTGGGGTCAGAGATACCGTAGAGCATCCAGCTAGGTCAGTGGTTTGCAGGACCCAGACCATGGTGAGGAGAGGGTGAAATTTAAGGGGGTGCCAAAAACCTCAGTAATTTATACCATCAATATTTTAATGCAA